TTGGTTTCTCCATCTCTGAGAAGGGATATAACACATTTTCTTTGGGGGCTTTGTTGTGATGGGTGTTATGTTGGTGGCTTGTGGCTTCAGCCTCTCCCGTGGAGTAGAGAGGGTGGTTGCACCTGGAAACCCATAACCACATTTGTCCACAGGCCGCCTGAAAGGCTCATGGTGGTAGAAAGCTCAGGTGCGGTGGTGAGATAGTTATATCCCAGGACTCTTATGCTCACCACACGTTATAGTTTGATTGAACAATCTTCTTTAGATTAGGCAACAGCTAGGTACTGTGCGGGCCGGCGTGATTGGATAGATTACAGAGGTCCTTATATTACAAGGTTTGGTTGAATGTACAAAGAGTGTACAGACAGATTGTAACGTGTGTGGTGAGCTTTAGTGCATCCAAGTGATTTCTTTGTTAAAGGAGAACTGTAGCCTATTTTTCCCCTAATTTGTAAAGATTATTGGACTCTGTGCTTAAACTTTACATTTTATGGTAATAGGTTTGCTTTGACCAGCAGATAGAAACTAGTCAATCATTTGGTAAGGTTGTCCCTGTTCTCACTGATCCAAAACTGTCCTGCCACTAGACAACGTCTATCGGGCTCTCATTCGGGATGACGAGACAATACAGCAGTGTAAAATGTGCCCAGCAGCAGGATATCCATGAGGGAGAATTGGCTGAGATGTACTAGAGACAAAGTATACAGAGAGGTGTTTTACTACGTGAATTGAGAGGCCACAGATGACACAGCAGGGTAAATATGCCGGCAGCATGATAATTTCATGAGCAAGACTAGGCCCAAATTTACTGGAGACAAAGTATACAGAGAAGTGTTTTACTACGTGAATTAAAGTGATATTAAAGCCTAATTTTTTACACTTCTCCTTTAAGGAGACCCTCCTTTGCTGGAGGCTGTTGCTTTTTAAATAAAAAAACTTTTTCATTCCTGGTTTTCTAGTGGGTCCCCGCAGCGATCTTACCCACGCCCCCTGCACGGGTGCCACCATCGTTCTAATGGAGGCACCCGTGCGCGCTTGTTTCCACAGTGGCTGTATGCGTCCATAGACACACACAGCCCTGTGGAAGGCCACGCCCCTTCCCACTTTGATTGATGGCAGAAGGAGCCTATGGCTCCTCTGCCATCAGTATCCTCACCCCCCAGCCCGGAAGTTCGGGGAACGTAGGATGGCTTAGGGACCGGCGGCGGCGACGAGCGCAGCTGACAGGTAAGTGTGGGCGGGACTGGGGTAGAAAAAAGGTGCTGGGCCGTTTTTACCCTAATGCAGAAAATGCATTAAGGTAAAAAACGCCCAGACCTTAATACTACTTTAAGAGGCCATGGATGACACAGCAGTGTAAATACGCTAGCAGCATGATCATTTCATGAGCAAGGCTAGGCCCAAATTTACCGGCGACAAAGAGCACAGGCCGGGGCTTTACTACGAAAAAAATTAAATACTGCAAAGGATACAGCATTGTGTAACATTGTCCAGAAGCAGGAATCTGTGTTGTCACCCTGTCACATGGGCTTCCGAGTGGCTGATTCAGCACATATTATGCATGGTCTACTGTTGTCACCATCAGGGAATGCCATGCAGCCATGTAGTAGAGAGGAAGTGGCTGCAAAGAGGCAGCAAATCAGCAGTGCTGACAAGGATTTTGATTAAAAATGTGTTGATGATACCCAGTGTTTTAAAAAAGCTAAGAGCCATCCAGGTATAAGCGCGATCCCTGCTTGAATCTGACCCAGTGGCCACCATAGGTGAACATCATGTGACCTTGGCTGTTTAGGCCACATTATAGACCACCAGGATTTTTTTAAAATAAATCATGGGAAGGAGAATACTTTTTTCTCCAAATAAATGTGATACGGTGACACTTGCCCTTATTGACTGGTCTGGGGCGTAAATTTCAATGACAGGTCCCTGTTAATGGCAGCGCAGTTGTCACCCCCCACCCCCAACTTCCCGGTTGCCAATAAATAACTGTGTTGTGTGACATCTTCATTGTTGCTGCAAAACACAATAACGCTCCTTCTGCCTGTAAGGCTCCACTATAGAGTTATTGGCATTTGTATATAACGCTGCCAGTCATTTTACAAAGGCGTCCGGGGCTGGCTGGACGTTTATAAAGCGTCCCCGCCATCTGTACTGGAAACTTCTGCGTGGCGTCTGAGATGTGACATCTTCGCGTGTAAAGTGACATTTTGATGCAGCCAGTGACTCAGACTTTCTGGCATTATCTGGGGGCCATTGATGCCGGGAACGAATAATAGTGAGGGACTACGCAC